CCTCATCCTGCCATGGAGACTGTGTTGCTCCGCGGGGACGCCCGCTAAGCACGGGCACCGACCAGCTGCTGCAGATCCTGGCAGCCCTGGCCTGTCTGTGTGGGTAAGCACAGGTTATTGACAGGAAGCAACTGAGAGAACAAACCTTTTAATATCCTTTTAGTGTTCCTTAAATTCCCCTTTTATGTTTATGGTATTTTTCCTTTCGTTTCCCTTTTTACTAACCAATATCGTGTTATCCATAATATTGTGTTAAGATCCTTTCTTGGTATCCCTTTTCACTAGTTAATACTGTATTAAATGCTGTTTGTAGTATTTGTTTTAATGCCACCCGATAAGGTAGTTATGTTGTATCCTTTTTTAGTTTTTGATTCCTCTTGCTAAGTTTATTATTATTATTATTCTCACTGTAATAAAAGATATTTTGTGTGTTTGAGTATTTCTGGCACATGTCTTTATTCCGGACATGTATCCAAACGAACGGTTACAATCACAGCTCCCCTGTGACATCAGATCTTTCCTGTGACATCACATCCTCCCCATGATATCACACCTGCCCTGTGACATCACGTCCTTCCTGAGACATCACATCTTCCCTATGGCGTCACATCCATCATAAGACATCACATCTCCCTTGTGATATCAGATCATCCCTGTGATGTCATGTCCTCCCTTGTGACATCACAGCTCCCCTGTGACATAACATCCTCCCTGTGACATCACATCCGTCCTGTGACATCCACATCTCCCCTATGACATCATATCGGTCCTGTGACATCACATTTTTCATGTGATATCACAGCTCCCCTGTGATGTCACATGCATCATATGACATCACATCTCTCATGTGATAACATATTATCCCTGTGACATCACGTCCTCCCCTCTGACATCACATGTTCCTGTGACAACACACCTCCCTGTGACATCACATCTGTCCTATGATATCACACCCATCATATGACATCACATATATCCTGTGATATCATATCACTGTGATGTCACGTGCTCCCCTGTGACCTCACATCGTCCCTGTGACCTCACAGCTCCCTATGATAACACATCCACCCTGTGACATCACATTTCCCATATGACATCACATCCATCATATGACATCACACCTCTCCTGTGATATCAAATAATCCCTGTGACATCACATCCTCCCCTGTGACATCACATCTCCCCTATGACATCACACCTCCCCATGATATCACAGTTGCCCAGTGACATCATACCCTTCCTGTGATGTCACATCTCTTCTGTGATATCATATCATCCCTGTGACATCCCGTGCTCGCCTGTGACATCAAATCCTCCCTGTGACATCACACCTCCCCTGTGACATCATATCCTTGTTGTGACATCAAGGCTCCTTTATGATGTCACATCCATCATATGACATCACATCTCTCCAGTGATATCATCCCTCTGACATCACACCTGCCCTGTGACAGCCCATCCTCCCCATGACATCACATTGCCCCTGTGACATCACAGCTCCCCTATGACATCACATTTTTCTTTGACATCAAATCTCCCATATGACATCACGTCCATCATATGACATCACATCTTTTCTGTGATATAGAATCCCTGTGAATGCACGTCATCCCCATGACATCACATCCTTCCTGTGACATCACATCCTTCCTGTGACATCATGTCCTCCCTGTGACATCACACCTCCTCCTGACATCACATCCATCCTTGTGACATCACGACCATAATATGACATCACATCTCCCCTATGACATCACACCTCTGTGACATCAAACCTATACTGTGATATCATATCATGCCTGTGATGTCAGGTCCTCCCCTGTGACATCACATCTTCCCCGTGACATCACAGTTCCCCTATGACATCATAGCCTTTCTATGACATCACATCTCCCCTATGATGTCACATCCTTCATATGATATCACATCTCTCTTGTGATATCCTGTCATCCCTGTGACATGACATGCTCCCCTGTGCCATCACAGTTCTCCTATGATTTGGCACCCATCATATGACATCACATTCTTCCTGTGACATCACATTTCCCAAATTACATTGCATCCTCCTCGTGACATCAGAGTTCCCCTGTGACATCACATCCTTTCTGTGACATCATATCTACCAACGTCACAACCATAATATGTCATCACATCTCCCTTATGACATCACATCTCCCCTGTGACATCACATCCAGTGACATCCAGATCCATCCCAAGGTTGGGGGTGTGTGTGAGACAGGCAGAACCACAAATGCCTGCACAGCCCAGAGCAGTCAGTGTGGGGCTGTGCTTGCTGCTGCAGAGACCCCCAGGGAACAAACCCAGGCAGGAGTTTCGGTGCGGTGTGTCCCTAAGGAGGACACTTGCCTTATTCTTGCTTATTATTTGTAATCTCTTATAGATCTATCATACAACACCTAAGGATGGATTCTATACAATATGTGCCATAGATATTTGGGTTGGGTCTGGCTGAGCTGCAGTTCAGTTCCCCACAGCAGCCCTCCCAGGGCTGGGCTTGGCATTGGCAGCTGGAAGGGGGTTGAGAACACCCCAGTGTTTTGGCCCCTGCTGAGCACAGCACCAACACTGGGACATTCCTTCCTTAGCTGAGGGCAAGAGCCTGGCAGGGGACCCAAGTAGGCCAGCTGAGCCCAACTGAGCCAAGGGACATTGCAGCCCATGGGAGGTCAGCTCAGCTCTAAAAGCTGAGGCAGGGAGCAGGAGGGGGGCATTCATTGTCTGATGGCTGCCTGCTGAGGAACCGTCCCGCGGACTCAAGCCCTGCTCCTCGGGAGTGGCCGACCATGGCTGCTCATGGGAAGTAGAGAGCTAACCCTGCTTTCGCTTTAAAAAAACTGCCTTATCTCAACCCACCAGTTGTTTTTTTTCCACCTTACTCTCTCCCCTGTCCCGCTTGGAAGGGGAGTGATAGAGCGGCTGGGAGGGCACCTGGTGTCCAGCCAAGGTCAACCCACCACACACCTGAACATTTCCAGAGACTCCACCGCTTCCCTGGGCTACTTGTTCCAGTGCCTGAACACTCTCTCAGTGGAAAAAGGTTTCTTTAATATCTAATATGAACGTTGCTCAAAGCAATTTAAAGCCATTTCCTCTCTTCCTGTAACTATAGCCTTGGCAGAAGAGACCAACCCCTGCCGCACTAAAACCTCCTTTCAGGTCATTGCAGAGAGCAATGAGGTCCCCCCTGAGCCTCCCCTTCTCCAGACTCAACAAGCCCAGTTCCCTCAGCCGTCCCTCAGCAGACATGTTTTCCAGAGCCTTCCCCAGCTCCGGTCCCTTCTCTGGACACGCTCCAGCCCCTCAAGGGCCTTTTGGCACTGAGGGGCCAGAACTGGACACAGCACTCCAGCTGGGGCCTCCCCAGTGCCCAGCACAGAGGGGCAATCAGTTCTCTGCTCCTGCTGGCCACACTCTTCTCCACAGAGGCCACCATGCCCTTGGCCTTCTTGCCCCCCTGGGCACACTCTGCCTCATATCCAGCCCCTGTCAAGCAGCACCCCCAAGTCCCTTCCTGCTGAGCAGCTCTCCAGCCCCTCTGCCCCCAGCCTGGAGCGTTCCAGGGGGTTGCTGGGACCCAAGGGCAGGCCCTGACACTTGGCCTTATTGATCCAGCCTGTCCAGATCCCTCTGCAGAGCCTTCCTGCCCTCCAGCACATCCACACTCACACCCAGCTGGGTGTTGTCCACGACTTTACTGAGGGGACTGGAAGGCCATAATTAGGTCACCCCAAAGCCTTCCCTTCTCCAGCCTCAACAATCCCAGTTCTCTCAGCCTTTCCTCACAGAAAGGTTTCAATAGACCTCAAGTGGTTGAAGCCCTGGGTTTGGCCATCAGGCCTTGTCTTTCACTGCTGTGCTCTTTTAATAGAGCAACAGAGAATTGCAGCAAAAAACTGAAGAGAAAAACTTTGTAAATTTTGTTTCAGAATCGTTGCCTTGACCCTTTGGTCGAGGTTGGGAATGGTTTGTCTCCCTTGGCAGGGAGGGTCAGTACTCTTTGTCATTCTGACAGGACTGCCCAGGTCCCTGATTTTATCGTGGCCAAAATACTGGGCTTGGAAACCAAAGTAGGAACTGGTAGAGAACAGCAGCTTGAAAAATGGGCTGATGCCTAATTGATGTGGCAGAAGGAATGAAAGACTCGTGACAGCTAAGAAAAAAATTGGGCTTTTCAGTGCCTACCTCAGGTTGGGATGACTGCCTGTGTCTTAGTGGAGAAAGATGTTTTTGTAACTTTATTGAAACTTGTTAGTAAAATGTGCCTGAATTCCTAAGGAAACAACCACTGTGAAATCTTTTAAACCAAATGTAGATTTCCAAAGTGTAGAAGTTGCTACTGATATTTTGGCCATTTCTGTGGTATCTTTTTGTTGTGTGAATGACTTTGAGAACAAGAATGTGTTCTTAATTATAACACATTACTGCTAATTATTTTACAAGGTTGAGAGAAGAGTTTAAGATGAAAGTTGTGGGGTTACTTGCAAAGCTTTTGGTAAAACCAATGCAGTTGAACCTGGTGGGGAAATATGCCCTTAAATTGGTTTTAGCAGATCTCATGAGTGTCTAAGGCAGAGGCCAACCCAACTGGAAAGAGCCTTTCAAGGGTGACTAAGATGTAACTAAATTACCTTTTTGAGAGATGGGGAAAGCTGATGTCAGGAATTAAATTTCCTTATGTTAAGTTTAGTAAAAATATAATAATATATAAATATTAAAATTATTTTAATGGTCTTTTTTATGGGGTTTTCACTGTGCTTATGTTAGTACTTCTGAGTGTTTGATTGTGACAAAAATGGACAGCTTTCTGTTTTTTTTTTTTTTATTTTTCATGTTTTGATACTTTGGTCAAGGCATTAACATTAAAAGTCATTCAAAATTTTAAATCATCTTCAAACACCGAAATAGATTTGAAATGAGGTTAATGAGAACAGTGGGGGGAAAAGAACCCGAGCCCAAAACCAAAACAACCCCAAAAACTGTTCATTTTTCCATTGTATTTTAAACAAGGAAGTCTGTAGAGCAGCAGAAACAGGACACGTGGGCAGGTGTGAAAGTCAGACTGGGGCTTGTTGCACTGGTTCCAGTGCTCTTTGCTTCAGTGTAACTGGTCATTTTGAGATGAGACTGGGGAAACTGGGCTGCCAGGGCAGAGACCACTGGCTGGCCCCACTGGTTTTTGCTGGGCAGTGGGTAATTTGTGCCTCACTTGTCAGAATCAGCCCACGGTTATCAGGGAATGGGGTAGTGGTGAATTTGGCTTTCAGACTAAAATGAGGTTAAACTTACACATATTCAAAAGAATAAATTGATGTTGGAGTGCAGATACTCAAAATCCTGAAGACCTTTTGAAACCTTTTCTGCATGTCAGTCATACAGCCGAAGCTCTTCCTGCAGTCGGGGCACTCACAGGGCTTCCCTTACTGGTGGGTCCGTTGGTGTGGATGCGCCGGTGGGTGACGAGGTGAGCATTCTGCTTGAAGCCCTTCCCGCAGTCGGTGCAGCGGAAGGGCCTCTCATCCGTGTGCGTCCGCTCATGCCTGAGGAGATGTGAGCTGGTCTGAAACCTCTTCCCACATTTCCCACATGTGTAGGGCCGTTCCCTGGTGTGGATGCGTTGATGGGCGTGAAGATTGGAGCTGTCACTGAAGCTCTTTCCACATTCCCCACACGTGTAGGGCCGCTCCCCAGTGTGGATGCGCTGGTGGCTGAGGAGGCTGGAGCTGCAGTTGAAGCTCTTCCCACATTCCCCACACGTGTAGGGCAGTTCCTCAGTGTGGATGTGCTGGTGGGAGTGGAGGGTGGAGCTGTGTCTGAAACTCTTCCCACATTCCCCACACGTGTAGGGACGTTCTCCAGTGTGGATGCGCCGGTGGGTGAGGAGGTTGGAGTTGCAGTTGAAGCTCTTCCCACATTCCCCACACGTGTAGGGACGTTCCCCAGTGTGGATGCGCTGGTGGGTGCAGAGGTTGGAGCTGTCACTGAAGCCCTTCCCACATTCCCTACATGTGTAGGGCCATTCCCCACTGTGGATGCGCTGGTGTCGGATCAGCTTGGAGCTTTGCCTGAAGCTCTTCCCACATTCCCCACACGGGTAGGGCCGTTCTCCAGTGTGGATGTGCTGGTGAGTGAGGAGGGTGGTGCTCCTGCTGAAGCTCTTCCCACATTCCAAGCACCTGAAGGGCTTCCCCCTGCTGGAAGGCTGCTCAGGGACCACCAGGTCAGAGCTCCCCCTCAAGCTCCAGCCGCCTTCCCGGCACAGGCTGGCTCTTTCCTCCTCAGAGCACCCTGGGATGGCTTTGGAGCCCCTCCTGCGGGGGGATCTCCGGCCCTTTTCCTCCCCGCTGCCTTCCTGCGCCGGGGAGCCCTTCAAAACGGCCTCTCCCACCAGGGGCTCACGGGGGGATTTGTCCTCCGGGCTCTCCGTCCTCACCTCGGGGCCTGGGGCAGGAAGCAAGAAGGACAGGCAGGGGATTGGCCTCCGGCCCACAGGGAAGGCCAAGGACATCCCCCCAACTCCGGCCCCGGCAGGACGGCGGCGCCAGCGGGGTTGTCCTGCAGCCGGGGCCATGCTCGGCTGACAGAGCCAGCACAACACCCGCCCAAAGGGACACTGACTTCCTCCTCACCTGCCTGGGGGGACCAAGGCATCTTCCTCTTCCTCACAGCCTCCTCCTCCATCCGACCAAGCTTTGGGAAGGACAAATCCTGATGGGGGGGAAACAAGGGCTGAGCGCGTTGGCTTGGGGGTTCCTCCTGCCCAAGTCCATCTCTAGAACTCACCGGGCATCCTGTGACCATAAAAACCTCCAAACACCAAGATTCAGCCCAGAAAAAACAAAACCACTGAGATTCAGGGAAAAAAGCACTAAGAAATAGTGAGATGGACCGCCCCCCAAATTGCAAAAAGTTAAAGTTTAGCCCGAAATACTCCAAAATATGAAGATTCAGCACAAAAAATGGTGTTTAATTGGCAGAATGAGAGGAGTGAGGTCATTTTTTCATGACTTGATTGAGTTTATATATCCTTATCAAAAGCTGTATTACTGTAGTGTCACTTAAAATTCTCCAGGGCTGTTACTTGGGGTTCTCTGGCCCCCTGCCAGTGTGGGTCTGATTCTCCAAACCACCAAACCAAGTGTGCTAAACGCCCTGGTTGGTCAGTGCCGGCTGGGGGAGCGGGCACTTGGTGAGGGGATGAGAAAACTGCACCAGGGCTGGGCTGAAAGAGGCTTCAGCACCACTTCTGATGGCCCAGGGGCAGCATCTGGCTTCTCCCAAACAGAGAGAGGGCACTTGTTCCTCTGCAGGGAGTCAAGGGCAGGAGGGTTACTCCTGCTTCATGGATGGAGTGGCAGAGGATCCCTTGGGTCCCCAGAATGGATCAGCACTCAGGGATACAAACTGCCCTGGGGCTCAGGATGCAGCTGCCAGCACAGATTTCCCTGCAAAGTCTGCAGTGAGTCAAGCTCTGGAGAGGAGATTGTGCCCCATGGATGGGATTGCAGAGGCTCCCTCAGGTCCTCAGCAGGAATCAGCAACCAGGAATAGACACAAAAGGCCCCCCCAAAGAGTTCTGGGGGAGTGTCCTGCAGGGAGGGGACAGTGTCACCCCACCAGGCCCGGGCTGGAAAGTGGGAGGCTGCTCCAGGGCTCTGCAAGAGGCCTCGTGCTCTGCTCAGCCCCAGGCCCTGGGCAGCTCTGCTGCCACAGGCTGTGCCCTCACTGTGGCCCTGCAATGGCCCTGCCTGTCCCTCACCCGGGGCCCTGCCCGTGGCCCTGTCCCTTGGCTCTCTCTCTGCCAGCTCAGTGTGGGGCACACGGGCTGGGGGTCCCTCCCAAGCCCCCCGGGCAGCCGGCGTTGGCTGGGGGGATGTGAGGGCTGGGCCTGCTCAGCACAGCCCCGGCCTCGTGCCCAGCGCCTCTTTCCTGACCCACACAAGAGCTTCCCGGCCCCCCCAGGGCTCCCCTGCTGCTGCCTCTGCTCCTGGCCCTGCCTTTGCTGCTCCCCTGGCTGGGGCAGCGGCTGCAGGGGGGGATGGCAGCAGCTTCAGCTCCACGGCACTTCCTGGGGGGAGCTCAGCCCGGGGGGACGGGCAGGGACCTGATGGGGACGGACAGGGGCCCAGCAGGGACAGACAGGGCCTGCAGGGGAAGGCACAGGGACAACCTGGCCCCCCACACTGCCAGGGCTGTCTCTGCTCCTCCTTGCAGGCTCCGTGGCCAGGCACAGTTTGTGTTCCTGGGTGCCCACCATCTCAGCACTTGCAGCCGCTCAAATCAGCGCCCGCAGCTCTGCAGCAAAGCCCCAGCTCACCTGGCACACAGGGGATGGACACAGCACCTGCTCGGGGATGGGCACTGCCAGCTTTGTCTCTTCCCCACCACGGGGCTCTCCTTCCTCAGCAGCACCTCTGCCTTGCACTTATTCTCAGCCTCACCTCAGGGACAGCTCTGGGCTCACCTCCGCGCCACTGCTCAGCCTCACCTCAGGGCCTGGGCTCAAGGACAGGAACCTGCAGGGAGGGGACATCAGGTGCAAGCTGAGGGCTGCCTGCTTGCACTGGCCTCTGGGCTTCTTTCTCCTTCTACAACCAGCCCACAACTCAGCCTGCTTTTCTAACACCACACATTTACAGACTAACCTTGCAGATAGATATGGACAGACACCTCTATCACCCTGGGGATGGAGCCTCAAGCATGTGCTGCCACAGGAATGGCAATCACAGAATCACAGAATCAGTCACGTTGGAAAAGACCTCCGAGATCATCAAGTCCAACCCTGGATCCAACCCCGCTGTGCTTCCCAGACCATGGCACTGAGGCCACATCCACTCTCACCTTCAACACCTCCAGGGACGCTGACTCCACCCCCTCCCTGCCCAGCCCATTCCAAGGCCTGATTGCTCTCTTGGGAAAAAATTGCTTCCTAATATCCAACCTAAACCTCCCCTGGCACAGCTCAAGACCCAGCCCTCTTGTCCTACTGCTGCTTCCTGGCAGAACAGCCCCACCCCCACCTGGCTCCAACCTCCTGGCAGGGACTTGCAGAGAGTGATGATTCCTGCTGGGGACCTGAGGGAGCCTCTGCAATCCCATCCATGGGGCACAATCTCCTCTCCAGAGCTTGACTCACTGCAGACTTTGCAGGGAAATCTCTGCTCCCAGCTGCATCCTGAGCCCAAGGTCAGTTTGTATCCCCAAGTGCTGATCCAATGGGTGCCCTGGGATTGGAGCCTGGGCTCTAATTAACCTCTCCTGTGCTACCAAACAACAGGAGCTGTATGGCCAAGGGACAAACTCTGTGATCCCTGTCAGTGTCCATGGCCCCTGTCAGTGTCCTTCAGGGAAATCAGGAGGAGGAAATGAAGAATTTGGTTTGGAACCAAACTGGTGTTAAAGTGGGAAAAAGCTCCTTCCATGGAAATAAAACTTAGACAGATTTTCCTGGGCTGAACAACCTCATTCAGGGATGAAGGACTGGGACTTCTGTGGACACTTGTGCTGGTTTCTTTGGACACTCGTGTTCCTTCAGAGAGCCCCTGGAAACACTCTGCTGTTCACTCCCAGTGCCACCAGTGCCTGGGTCCTGTCTGCAGCAGCAGATTGCAGTGGGACGGGAGAAATGCTTTTCTGAGCCTCTGGGCTGGACACAGGCACAGCCTGACCCTGAACCCAAGGGAAACAAAGACAAATTCCACGGCTTTAGCTGGAGCAAGGTTGGGGGGGTTTCCTGAGGGCAGCACTAACCAGACTTTTGTGTGTGTGTGAGACAGGCAGAAGCACAAATGCCTGCACAGCCCAGAGCAGTCAGTGTGGGGCTGTGCTTGCTGCTGCAGAGACCCCCAGGGAACAAACCCAGGCAGGAGTTTGGGGGGCGGTGGGTGTGTGTCCCTAAGGAGGACACTTGCCTTACTATTGCTTATTATTTGTAATATCTTATAGATCTATCATACAACACCTAAGGATGGATTCTATAGAATATGTGCCATATATATGATACAGAATATATCTGATTATTGCTTTATCTGTCTGTCCAGACAGATCTTGTGTATGCACAGAGATTGTATTTGAGGGATATGTTCCTCTCAATACCCAGTTGGTTCCACTCCCAAGGCCAGCAAATTCCTGAAGCTCCCCCTTCTGTGCCCTGCAGGGTTTGGCAGATTTGCAAGAGCAGGGGAATCATTCCCTGCAGCCCCTTTGCACTGTAGGAAATGGGAGCCCTGTGCACATCCTGCTGCCTCCAGATTCCATTCTGGGTGTGGGAACGACCCTGTGGGGAGCAAAGAAATGCCTGGTTCTGCAGGAGCTGGAGATGCTCAAGGGGCAGCAGGACCAAGTCAGGGGCCTGGGGGGGCCTGGGGGGCTTTGGGGAGCGGGAGGGTCCTGGGGGAGCTGGGGAGGGGCTTTGGGGATTGGGGGTACAGACCAGGACAGACCAGGACAGACCAGTATCTCCTCACTGTTCCCCAGATCTCTCCTGGAGCTGGGCCACGTTGTCCTGGGACACCTCAGCCCCCCCCAGTGCCCTCCCAGTACAGCCCAGTGCCCCCAGTACAGCCCACTGTGTTCCTGTCCCAGGGTGCCGGGTGATCCCTCTCGGGGGGGTTGGAAGGGATTTGAGGGGAGGCTGTGGGAGATTTGGGGGGATCTGAGAAGTTTGGATGGGGATTTGGGGGTTTTGAGTGCCTTTAGAGAAGTTAAAAGAGGTCTTGGGGACACTGGGTGGTCAAAGGTATCTATGGGGGGAGGGGATTAAAGGGAAAACAGGGGTTAGGAGACATTTGGGGGGGTTAATGAGGCCTGGGGGGGAAGAGGAGGGGCTGCACCAAGAGCAGGTGAGTCCTAAGACCCCCCCTGGTGTCCCCAAGACCCTCTTGGTGTCCCTAGTTTCTCCCTTGACACCCCAAGACCCCCCTGGTGTCTCCAATGTCCCCAGGGCCTCTCCATAGCCCCAATTCCCCCCTTGACATCCCCAATTCCACTGTCCAGAAACCCCTCCCCACTGTCCCCAAGGCCCATCCCTGATGTCCCCAGCCCTCCATCTCACCCCAGGAGCCCCCCCTGGACCCTCTGACCACAAAAACACCCCCCACACACACTCACAGAAAGGCCAAGGGCATCTGGGGAAACATTGGGGACAGTTGGGGGGCTTTGCAGGGCCCTGGGTGAT